AGATTGAGTGTACTCCATAGGTGTTTTTGTTGTTGCCACTTTGCTGTATGCGAAGTGCTTGTGGCAGAGGTCACGTTTAATCTGCCGTCCTGATTGATTTTACCTTAAAGCAAAGAAATTGCCCAAGAGCACGTTGTTCGTGCGAAAGGTACAGCAAGGCGAGAACAGGAGCTCTATACATTGTGGAAGCCTTCCTCTTCCTATGCTTCCACCTTCGGGTACTGAATCAAATACAGGCAGGCAATCCATTGACCTCTCCGCTTTATCATTCAGGTGGGTAATTACTTTTCAGATTTCTTAGTCGGTCAATGGAACATCTATTCCATCTTCATCGATATGAGAATCGAGTTCGCCGTCTCCTGTTGTTACTGTGTTACTGCCGTTCAGGAGGCTGAAGAAATGTTCCCTCCATAAATTCACTATGCTTTGGGCATCAAGCGTAAGATGGCATCTTAGGTTCTTATAAATTTGGATATTTTATGTTATAGATGGTACATTGCAGGCGTCATATTTAGGAATTTAATTTACTCGCTGAATTTCAACAATTTGGTTAGGTTCGATGGCTGATCCAGGGATCGTACCCATTAACTATAAAGAATACTTTGATAATACTTTTGAGTGTTATATTTATGAGATTTCAAAGTGAATATTTGTTTAGCTCCTCTTCTTTCATGCAGCTACTCAAGATTCTCCAGTTAGATTCTCAACCAAACAGCGTGGCTGCCGCTAGTGCACTAACTCGTTGTAACCACAACTAGAGAAAGGCTAGCATTACTAAGGGAAAAGTGCTCACTGAATCTCTTACGGTATCGATCTTGGACCAAAAGGATCTGGCGACAGCGAATTAATCGATAATAGTCCAGACCTCACCCACCTCACTCGAAGTTTTCCAGCGAAGAGTAGAGCATCAACCGAGGCTTAGGATGCTTTTCTTGCTGTGACCTCGCGCACATTCTAGGCTTATCACAAAATAGCTCGAAGCTGATGATAACGAGACTAACGCAGAGTTAGTGAGTTCAAGGCTTGAATCCAAGTATCCACGCTTTTACTAGTTTTCTGCGTAAAACCCCCCGCGGAGACTTAGGAAATCCAGATCTTCATGCAATCACACTTTTCCGCCAACTAATTGAACTCACAGCGGCAATAATTGCTTGTAACTCAGACTGGACGTAGTTCGACCACCAAAAGCGACTGTGCTACTTAGCGACAAGCCCAGCCATGAACACGCTGAATGCATTCACAGACATTTTTAGCACGTCGCCAAAAATGTATAACACACACACATAAACGTGCTTACGATGGTGGCGTCGTTTCAGGAGCAATAAAGGTGAGCAACATTAAATATGAAATTAATGACTTAACTAACAACAAATGAGCAATCTAGCGGCGCTTTATGAAATTCGGTGTTATTGGTGTTGGCGGAATCGTTTTTTTTGTGTACGCTTACTCGTATAAATATGAAATGTGTTTGGAATTAATGCATGACAAGCGCAGCGATTGGTCGCATCAAAGGCGAATATGGGGGACGAAGGAAACGAAAAATAAGAAAAGAAAAAAAGAAGAGGAAGTAATGTTGACTGTTGCTGGTATTTGAGCTTATGTGTGAGCGTCTAAGTTGCGGTGCGGTTTGCTGCTGGAATTATGATTAGAGCATTTCCGACGTCGACACGTCACGTACGCACCGAACAGTGAGCAGAACTGCAGCACTATTAGGAAGCAGAGAAGCAACAAATACATAAAATGAAGAAAATAAATCGATTAAATCGGAACGAAGGCAATTCTGCACTTGTGGCGCCTAACAATTGAACTTAGACGACTTAGTGGGCTCAATTATGCATTGCATGTAGCGCAGGTGCCCCTCAGGAGAAGTCAAGAACACTGTCGAAAACTTAAAGGCAAAACGCATTAATAAATTAAAACAAGTCACAAGAAAAACAAAAAACATATTAAATTAGTTAAATGAAAGACGAATTAAATTAAACATCATGCAGCGACAAGAAAACGCCAACAAAATATGTAATTACATTTTAATGAGGCCTTTGAGAGGACCCCGCAAATTAAAAACTTCGCTTGCACCTATAAAAACACAAGCATTTCCTCCACTCAACATCAGTTCACAGTTACCCGACTACGGTACAGCAACTAAAAACAACTCACAAAAAATGTCTCGTTTCATCCAAGTCCTGCTTGTCGCCTCCTTGGCTTTCGCACTCTGCGCCGCTGAAGCGCCACGTTATCGTGGTCGCAATGGACGCCTACGGCTCTCCAAGCAACGCAGCCGTTTCTTGGCACGTCAAGAAGCCGCTGAGGAAGCAGGTGTAACCCCATACCCCTCCGCCAAGGAACTGATACCAGAGATTCCATTCGATGAAGCCGCCGCCGCCGCCGCTGCACCTGAAGTACCCGTTGAACCCGAAGCACCAGCTGCCCCAGAGGGTGACGTAGATGTCTCTGTGAATGATGATCTCCCAGCCGAGCAGGCACCAGCTGAAGAAGAAGCTGATGAACCCGCGCTCGCCGATGATGCTGAGGGTGAACATGAACCGGATCTCATCTACGGCCCACCAGAGGCTGAGGATGTGCCAGCTGTCAATGAAAATACACCCGTTGAAGAAATTGAAGCCACCATCGCTGAGGAAGAAGAGGAACAAGCCGCTGAGGAGGAAGCTATCGAATCTGCACGTTTGACTTTCGGTCGTCGCATCAACGCACGCAACTCCGCTCGTCCAGCTAAGTTGAGGGCTCCCGCTGGTGCTCGTGCCAACTCCGCTAAATCGGCCAGAATTGTTAAAGCCAAGGTTTCGACCAAAGCTCGCTCAGCTCGTTTGCAACAGTTGCCACAACAACAACAGTTTTTCGTTCCTCAACAATTCGCGGCTCAACAACAGCAGCAACCTGTCTTCTACTACACCGCTGGTCAATTGCAGCAATGGTAAAGACATCTACGTTCTAATTAAATTTTCTGGGAGAAGGTGATGGGAATACGAAAGGTATTATGACCATATTACATGTATACAGTGTGGTATAGAAAATTGTTAACAATTAATATTAAGGTTAAAAAAATAGAAACAGATGTAAGAATTGTTAAAGATTTTTTTTGACTGGAAATAAAAAGAAACCTATTAAAAGCGAATTAATTTTATTGTGTAATTAATGGGCTGACGTCGACGTTATTGGTCGTCAAAGTTGGCCTATAAGAAGCACATTCCTTGAAAGTTTCGGTAAGCTAAAGTCGTTTCTCTAATGGTTATAACTGATGATTGGTAAATAAGGAAATTATATTGTTCATGAGATATCGAAACATGAGATATACCAGGAAGCCTTCTAATGTTTTAAACATGACTTCTTTAAACTGTAGTTCTTCTTTTACTGGCATAAACGCTCGCCTTAGTTGTTGTTACGTCCATCGCATTTCTTGGACGGTTGTGATGTCAAACCTTTACCCTAACCAGGACATAAACCACTTGGGCGACACCTTCATAAAGAACCGGACATTCCAGACGCGTAATTCAGTCCACGTTTGCAGGGGTCGTCATCGAAAGGGGGGTCTCTTATCCGAGACTGTTTTCTTCTCTTCATTTTGGGTGTTTTTTACGTGGCGGGTTCCAAACTAAGTACAAAATCTTGGGATGCTTTTTAGCTACGCAGAGGATGCCTGGTCTAAGACCGGCCTTGTCCGGCCTTGACCTTCTGGCCAACGAGCTCGGTGGCAAATCTGAAAGTGTGCACTTCCAAGTGCTAACCCTCGATCTCGAAGGAATGTTAAAGTGTTTTGACCTTGTATTCTTCATAGAGTTTCTGCGTCCAGTAAAATTCCTTAATTTAAAGCATGATCAGTTTACTGATCCCTTACGTTCGATCTTCGACCATGCCGTTGAGTGAACGAACGAACCGATTATAGCCAGTGCTGGCCAAGTTAATGAGAAGCTCAGCTCTTCAGTAGTAGAAAACACTAATCAGTTTGTATTCTACTGAAAGCGTGGTCAGAGTAGACTTACTTGCCAGTTCATCAGCTTCACAGTCATTTGCCATACCAGTCTTATCACGAAATGGCCACGGATAAAAAGGTTAGGCATTCCTCAACTAGCCCTAAAGGAACGGTTGGTGAACTCAAGTCTTGTAACGACGTCCTGCTAACAGAGTGGATAAACAGAGTAGTAAATCTACCTTAGTGGTGACTATCTCGACGTGAAATACACTGCATTAGTCAGGAATTTGAAAGAGAGTTCCTAACAATATAGCAATTCACCAAAGCTTTGACTTATCCGCAAACAAGCTCACTGCTCCTCTCTTCCAATGGCTTCTATCCATCCTACACATCCTCGCAGCTATAAAGCCAAAATTCAAAGATGTATTCATTATAAATCCAGATTCTCTGAGCCTGATAACAACAACATTAACTGCAATGGCTGGAGTGGACCAATGGTGTCACAGAGCCAGAGCACTACTTTCGGTGAGAGATCCCACCTTTTGCCAATGGTTATTCAACACAAGGCAATCTGTGTCTTCTTTGCTCTTTCCTCCTTATTAAGCTTTTTTTTTAAGACGAACCCTAAATACTTTATTGTATACGCAGGTTACAGGTAGATGCCTCCCATCCGGAAAACTGATTGTATTAATATCTACTGCTTTGTTTAATATTATGTTGCAACGCAAGCCAAATTTATTGCAGCTGGACTCATTCTTCGGCTAATAATTATTATGACTCATAACCACAACAATAAACATGAAACATACACTGGTTAGCACGATGAAAACAAAAACTAAAGCGATAAGAAAAATAGGCAAGTGCACACCATTTGAACGAATACACACTTGAAAGCAGAACTTCAAATTAAGGTACCGCGTAGCGTGAACAATGATTAAATATTAATAAGGCGTTTTCTGAACTTCTAAGGTCATTACTGCTAAGCGCAAATCAAACGCTTTATCCACAAAATAATTTCACTAGTATAAAAGCTTAAACTGCTGAACAACCAGTATCAGTACTTGGTCTTACCCACCCAGTATAGTACATACTACTTAATCTCTCTACAATGGCTCGCTTCCTACAAATCCTGCTTGTTGCCTCCTTGGCTTTCGCACTCTGCGCCGCTGAAGCGCCACGTTTCCGTGGTCGTAACGGACGCCTACAACTCTCCAAGCAACGTAGCCGTTTCTTGGCACGTCAAGAAGCCGCTGAGGAAGCTGGTGTAACCCCATACCCCTCCGCCAAGGAATTGATTCCAGAGATTCCATTCGATGAAGCCGCCGCCGCCGCCGCTGCACCTGAAGTACCCGTTGAAGCACCAGCTGTACAGGAAGGTGACGTAAATGCTGTCTCTTATACACATCTAGATGTGTATAAGAGACAGCCCCATACCCCTCCGCCAAGGAATTGATTCCAGAGATTCCATTCGATGAAGCCGCCGCCGCCGCCGCTGCACCTGAAGTACCCGTTGAAGCACCAGCTGTACAGGAAGGTGACGTAAATGTCTCTGTGAATGATGATCTCCCAGCCGAGCAGGCACCAGCTGAAGAAGAAGCTGATGAACCCGCGCTCGCCGATGATGCTGAGGGTGAACACGAACCAGACCTCATCTATGGGCCACCTGAGGCTGAGGATGTGCCAACTGAGGAACAAGCAGCCGCTGAGGAGGCCATCGAATCTGCACGTTTGACTTCAGGTCGTCCCATCAACGCACGCAACTCCGCTCGTCCAGCTAAGTTGCGTGCTGCAGTTCGTGCTCCTGCTAACTCCGTGAAATCGGCCAAAATTGTTAAAGCGACCAAAACTCGCTCAGCTCGTCTGCAACAATTGCCACAACAACAACAGTTGTTTGTGCCTCAAAAGTTTGCAGCTCAACAACAGCAACAATCTTAGTAGATTCAAAAAACGGTTATACTAGTTACGGTAGTATAGAAAATTGTTAACAATTAAAATTAATATATAAACGTGTGTTGTTAAAGAATTTTTTAGACTGATAATAAAGAGAAATATATATAAAACGGTCGAAATAACATTATCTAATTTAAGCATGTGGAGATGAAAATAAGGAAATTTCAGGAATATTTTAAGTACGAAATCATTTGAGAACATGAGTCTCGGTAATATAGTTCTTGTGTGAAATAAAAGAAATTTCTGTACTTCCTTAAAGAAATTTCGGATAAATCCGTAATAATACTCTATCCACTTATTAATTCACCAACTTTTAATCTCCTTTGTGACAGAACCTTTGCGACGAAGTAAAGAAGTGCACGGGCATTTCCGACTGTAATAAGGGGCACTCTGCAGCGTAGCATACTTTTCCCTTTGCTCATAAATCTGGAGTTTAACGATCTTAGAGGGAACTTGAGGACGGTATAGCTCTTGTAGAAAAGGCAAAGTTACTAAATACCGTTTACGATCTCAGGCAAGTGTATCCAAATGAGGTAACCAAGTCGGTAGACAGAAATGGTCAGTCCGTTCACACAACAGTCGGGTCTACGTAACAGGAACGGACCCGGATTTATAACCGGCCTACAACTGTGAAATGGGCAGATTTTCGCCGATACAACAACAACAGAAATGGTTTAGCAATAAATGTTAGTAAAACTGAGCTAGTTTTATTAGCTTTTAAATAAAAAGTTGCTGATGTTGTTCTCTTCTTGTTGGAGACTTTCTTCGGTGGACAGGCCGAAATACTTAAGGCTCAATTTTTAATACGAAACTGTTATATAAGCAACACATTGTTAGACAGTGAGTAATTGGGAAGATGTGGACCTCTAACCAAAAGTGGTTTTCTGACTCTCTGAAACCAATATTAAAGTAATAATGTTTTATGCGGTCGTTGTCAGGTGGAGGCACTCAAAAAAACCTCACAAGCTAAGCTGCTGAAGCATGTTCCGTTGGGAAGCGCTTCCAGCACAGCATTTCATTTCCAAGGCCGGTGACCTAACCTAACCCTAACACAAAAAAAGAACCTCTGCCCAAATGGGATCCATCAATTAAGATCAGTCTTACGACCTAACTAAGAACGAACATCAGCCTAAGTGAGAACCATCGAATAAGATCAATCCTAGCACAAAGAAAGAATATCTGCCCAACCTAGCTGCCTCTAACCTACGATTTTGATATCACTGAGAGACTAGATGTGATTATAGTACCTTCTTTGAGCCTTGGAAATATTGTTATAGGATTTTCGAAAATGCTTTCTGACGGTTTTCTGATTGGGTTTGTAAGGAATGGAAGGCGTATTCCCGTTTTGAACTTTTAATAAAGCTGAAAATGTTCCATAGCGAATATGATTTTAATATTTTCTATTTGTTAGGGTTATCGCTTGTTTAATTGTTTACCACAACCTAAGTACTGGAGACAATTAAGTCACCGCCTCAGTCCGTTTCCAAAAACTTTCAATAACATGTCCTTCATCACTAAGTAATTTAGGCGACCGATCACGATTTGATTTGTAAGGTCAAGGATAATAAATACATTATATTCAGTAATTTATTCTTTTTGTACTCATAACTACTATTCCCTTTATACAAATTCTTAATTCAAACTGATGTTCCTCTTCATTACAAAGTCCAAGCAATGGCCTAGTGCGTGTCGACAGATAGTTACCACAAAATAACTGTAAGTGTATTTCAAGCAAAGCTCAATTAATTAACTACTTTATACAACAACACAAGCAAATATCTATTAACTATTCTATGTGATTCGTTTGCTTATGGAAATAAGCACGATAACAATAATTTGAATATAAAACCAAAAACTCAATGATAACTCTGCAATAATAGTTGTTTGTGGATAATAACGAATATTCAAGCAAAGCGTACAGAAAATCAAAAATCAAGCAAGAATTGAGAACTCTGGTAGCGTAGACAAGTAAATGCAACATTAAATATTAATAAGGCGTTAGGGTACTTATCAAGTTTCTACCGCAGAAACCAATGCTTCTGCATTCAATTGCAATAATTAGTATAAAAGCCTGAACTGCTGAGCAAATGGTATCAGTACATGGTATTATCCACCCAGTAAACATACTACTAAATCTCTCTACAATGGCTCGCTTCCTACAAATCCTGCTCGTCGCCTCATTGGCTTTCGCACTCTGCGCCGCTGAAGCGCCACGTTTCCGTGGTCGCAACGGACGCCTACAACTCTCCAAGCAACGTAGCCGTTTCTTGGCACGTCAGGAAGTCGCTGAGGAAGCAGTTGTAACCCCATACCCCTCCGCCAAGGAACTAATACCAGAGATTCCATTTGATGAAGCCGCCGCCGCTGCTGCTCCCGAGGTCCCCGTTGAAGCACCAGCTGAACCCGAGGGTGACGTAAATGTCTCCGTGAATGTTGATCTTCTAGCTGAACAAGCACCAGCTGAAGAAGAAGCAGATGAAACCGCGCTCGCCGATGATGCTGAGGGTGAACACGAACCAGACCTCATCTATGGCCCACCAGAAGCTGAGGACGTGCCAGTCGTCAATGAAAATACACCCGTTGAAGAAATTGAAGCCACCACCGCTGAGGAAGAAGGCGAACAAGCAGCCGCTGAGGAGGCTATCGAATCTGCACGTTTGACTTCAGGTCGTCGCATCAACGCACGCAAATCCGCTCGTCCAGCTAAGTTGAGGGCTCCCGCTCGTGCTCGTGCTAATTCCGTGAAATCGGCCAAAATTGTTAAAGCGACCAAAACTCGCTCAGCTCGTCTGCAACAATTGCCACAACAGCAACAGTTCTTTGTGCCTCAACAGTTCGCGGCTCAACAACGCCAACAGCCTGCCTTCTATTACACCGCTGGTCAACTGCAACAGTGGTAGGTTGAAAGAACTGTACTTTTCATGAAAGTAAATAGTATAGAGAATTGTTAACAATCGGATTGGAGAGTTGTTAAAGATTTTTGTAGACTGATAAATACATAAAAACCCGTTATTCGAACAAAACATATATATGCGATCTTTAGAATGTGATGAAGGTTTAAGGTGCTGTGGGTTCTGTGTGTGATGTTCATATTTCAGAATCTACTGAGATACTCCTAATAAAATGAAGTAAAATTTTCTGTCTATAATCCGAGTCTGATGACATATATAGTATATACATTTTCCAGTACAAAGTTCGTTATAAATTGCTCTTATGTAAAAAAATATTAATATCTACTTATATTTTCTTTTTGTTGTTGATCTTATAATCACATTTTGCTTGCTCCTCTCAGACCAAGTTTAGTCAGTAAATATATCAAATAGCCTCATAGCGAACTGGACTACGTAGTAACTCTAACGGTATTTCAAAATTTTCTAATTTATCATCTTTGGACGTCTTTCGTTGTATCTCTGGCAGCGCCGTATCAACATATTGTTCGGACTTTTGTGCGTTCGGTTTCTTTTGTTCCCCTCCGTACTGTTGCGCTGCCTTATTGCCCTCTTCCTCTGGATATTGCTCGTATTCATAGTCGGCACGAAAGCCCCCATCGCCTATATCCTCATCAGCAGTGCTTGGTAGCTCCGCAGGTGGACCGTAAATGTCATGAGGGCTGGGTTGTCGTGGTCTGCCCAGTGGCGGCGGTCGTATTGGCCAATTAACTGGCGGCGATCCATATACGTCGATAGGTCGTCGATGCTGTTGCTGTTGTGGTGCTTTGCCGCGCAGGCGTGTATTGCTTTGCGAAGTCCATGGCTGACGCGTCTCACTAGGCAATTCGAAGGTTTGTGACGGTCGATAACCGCTTGGGCGGTATCCACCTCTGCGCGGTGTGTCATCGTCCTCGGCGCTGGGTTTGTGCCGAAATGCTTGTGGATATCGGTGATGCAGGATACGGTGGCGGTGCCGCGCTAGACGTGTCGCGTCCTCGGCATTCTCAGCAATACACAGAACTAGCACTAGCAGTAATGCGTTGGTAAATAATATTAGTTTCGACATACTCGCTGCTGAGCGCTCTCCTGCAAGTTGCTCTGCAAATTTATGACTTTTCGATTTGTTGTAATGCTTTTATAGCAAAAATTTAATGCGAAAACTTGGCAATTGTTCAACTTTCTTATAAATATGATAGAATATTGTTATCTTTTTTGTTTTTTTTCGAAGATCTTTGTAAACATTACATTCAAAAAAATATTGAATAAATGCCAGTTTTTCACCTGCCAACTCGGTTGATAGCGTATTGGCCGCCACTGTAACCTCAAAAGTATTCGTTTGGTGAACACGTGAACCGATTACCCGTATGACCTCGGTTAGCATATTGAGCTTGCGATTCATTTTTATTGCTTGCAAATTAGTAATAGCTTATATTGAAATCATAAAATTGCCCGTTGACTTTCCAAGCACAGTGTCTCGTTTTCAAAGTTTCTTTAAGGTTGGCTTTAAGGCTTCTTTAAGGATGGGTCAAAGCTTGGGAGGAAGGTTGGAGGGTTACTTATAGTAAATGAGCTCTCTATCAACTTCAGCTTCAGACTTCTGAACTATTACAGTATTTTCCAGCACAAGGTTACATCCATTAAGGTAGCGATAGATCTGTTGCTCCGGAGTGCAGTCTCCTTCTGAAAAGTGATTAGCGGCGCTACAGAGCTCCTGTATTTTCTATGGCTTCACAAAGGACTACGTATAACAGTCCGCGAGCGATCTTCGAACAGCTCTCTAACCTAACCGAATATAATGTCCGCGCTGGTATTGTAACCCCATCTATCCTTATTTTGTTTAGACTTATGAGTTTATTGGAAACTGTTACGAGAGGACTAATTAGTGTCAAATAGGTTTCGTCTTTCAGTCGACGGCTAGATTGTTGAGCACGCCTTCTATAATGTCTTTATCATGCAATTTCTAATTATGGCCCTGTAAACTTCTTCCTCCGCTGGCATTGCCTCGTCCACATCGCTGATTTCCAGCGTGAGCGCTTGCCCATATCGTTCAGCACCACTTGTGTACATCATCTAAATTTGTTTTAGTTTACAGCTTAGGCAGAAGTTCACCCTTCGCTATTCTCTTTGTTTAGCTCAAACTGTCGCCGAGAGCCGGAAGTCTGTGGTCCAGCTACATCTTTTTAAGCATTTTTGCATAATAAGCGTCACTTGGTTTTTAAAGTAGCAAGTCTTCTACGCATTTCGCCTGCCATTTTGTGTTCTTTTGCTCATTGTTTTTATGTTCTACCGTAATTTTATTGGTGTAACCTTCTTTGCTAACTAATACCCAAGAGTGTGGAGTAGTGGAGTGCTGCCTTTAGTTTCACCGGTTGTTCCTTGGTCAGGTGTTTCAGCCAGTGGCTTTTGACAATATTGGGTTGCCTCTAGCTGTTCAAGGCTTCTTTGTCTTCTCGAATTTTCTCTTAGCCTGCATGCAATCATAAACCACAGATTCATTTGTTTAGGGTCGTTTAAAGGCAGCTTGCTAATATAACGCGGTTATTCGCCCAATGATATAGCTCATGACTTGGTGGATAGGTCGTATTTTTCTATGCTCAAGCTGGTTTTCAATTTGGTCATCGAGTTGGTAGAAAGTCGATATATTTCCACCATTAATGTTTTCCCTTCTGGTTTATAGAGGGGGAATACTAATTACTGTTGAATGTCCTAAAAGACGTGACCCGTTTCCTTATTCATGTTCGTTTTGTGGTTCTGTCGTGATATTCTTTCTTCCTTAATTTATGTTCTGATGTAGTGTTCATCGAATTTGGTCCCCTCTCAAGGCTATGTCAATGTCGTCGTATATCTTTTATATGGCTAATCGTTCCATCGAACAGGCGGGGATGATGAGTCTTGGTCTTTGTCCGTTGAGAGGGGACTTTACTTCTCAATTGCCTACTTAGTACAAAGTAGCACCTGATGGCAAGAGTTATACTGCGTTGAATTTCGAGGCTGAAGTTGTTGTTGATGTTAAGTAGAAAATCAGTATGAAATCGGAACTAACGGAGCGGTTGATGAGGCCAATGATATCAATATCATCGGCGTACGCCTGCATTCCTTGTCTGAAACCTCGTTTCCGATCCGATCTTAACGGAGTTTTTGGCGAATTAGTCACTCAATTCTTGAGAAATCGAACTAAATTTTTACATACATCCTTCAGTTCATCATAGCATATGGCGGTCACGCAAACTGACCTATCCAAATCAAGTTCTTGTACGAAAAGCTTTTTTGTTTGAAGAGATATTTTCAAATGAGTTCGAAATTTGGCAGGAACTATTGGCCAAAACAACGCTACAATGTACGTAGAACGTTTCTAGATCGGATCATTTTAGCATATTGCTGCCATACACGGTGAACGATCAAAATAAAGTTTTTGCACGGAAAAGTTTTTTATTTGACAAGATATCCTCACGAAATTCGAGATAGATTATTTCTCAAGACAGCGCAATAATATGTCATAGCCGTCATACAAACTCATCGTTCAAAGTCAAGTTCTTGTATATTTACTTTTATTATTACGAATCCCCAAGCAGAGCAAGTAACATAAAAATAAAAATGCTGTAAAAAAGTTCATTTTTGAATACTGTGCAGCTATGTATTTGGGTGTGTTGCCAATTTAATCGCATTCAACAAGTGTCAAAATTGAACTTCAAACAACAAAATCTGCAAGCTTGCATACAAAATAGACACAGCAACAAAGTAAACAAAAACAGCAAAATTATATTGTGAGCAACAGTTGACACACACACACACACCCATACATACGTAGTAGTGGCGGCGTAGCATATGTGTAACTGGCAGTGCGAGCGAAATGTAAGCTAGAAAGACAACGGCAAGCAAAACAATGGAGCATAAGACAACTGCCGGTTGCAGAGCAGAACCCCCGTGGACCAGAAAATCCTGAATTTGATGTGGCAAAATCGTGCGAAATGCAACGCTGCCACAGTTCAACGTTCTTACAATTCAATTTAAAGCGTTTAAGGCGCTTCGTTAAACTTCGGAAGTTTCGCAGCGCACGTAAAGCCAAATCAAAAACAGATACAGAACATTTACAAACTCTTCGCTCCACAAACATACACACAAAGCTAACGTACAAACAAATAAATTGCTTTTGCCATACTTTTTCGTTGGTGCTGTTGTTGTTTCGTGTTTGCTGGGGACGCTCTGTTGTGGTCGCCGGCCACACACTGCCACTGTCAATGGCTCTGGCAACGGCTGCGGCGGCGGCGTCTGAGCCACAGCGCTTGGCAGCCAATCACGCATGCCGAGCACGTAGCGGCTGACTACGACGACGCTGTTGCTGCTGGTGGTCATTTCAAATCGAATTTAAGCGTCGCTCGCATACGTGTGTGTGAGGTTCACTGATACTTGGTATGCATACGTGTGCCGCTGTGTGTGTGTCTCGGCTATAATTATTGAATTTATATGCTTGCGCCTTTGTACTCACACTTGCAGAAGCCACTGTACGCTTGTACGTTGGCCTTTTCTGTGCCAATCTACACGGTCTACTTTGGTCTTACAAACACATAGTAACGGAGGAGTGGGAGGTATTTACAGAATTTTGTTTTCGCTTATTTATTTTTATCTGCTGTTACAAATATTTATAGTATTATGAAGTGTGTTTATTGTTGTTGGTGTCTACTTCGTTTAGGTATTTGATAAAAATTTTTTTTTTTTCCATATTCGCCATCTTTCAATTTCGTTCGAAAAGGCTATCGCTAGCCAGTTGCTTTTGTTTTTATTGTCAAAATATTTGTATGCAGGTGGCGCGGTGTCGCACATTTAATTTCCGGTTTCCGATAGTTGCTGGCTGTTGTTTTTGTATTTTTAGCATTGGTATTTTATACCCCGAACAGGTTGTATGCAGTTTGCCACGAAGTTTAATTACACGAAAAGGTCTTGTATGGAAAAATTTTTTTATTGAAAATATATCTTCACAAAATTTGGCACAGATTATTTTCTATGGCAACGCTACAATTTCCAAAAAAAAGTTGTTCAAATCGAACTGCTATCACATATAGCTACCATACAAACTGAACGATCTATATCATATGCTTGTATGGAGAACTTTTTTATTTGATTAGCTATCTCTATAAAGTTTTGTGTAGGTTATTTTCTAAGACAATGCTATAATATCCTAAGAAATGTTTCAGTTCGAGCAGCCATAGCATATTGCTGCCATACAAACTGAACGATTGAACACCACTTCTTGTACTGTAAACATTTTGATTAAACGAGATATCTTCTTGAAATCTGGCATGTATTATTTCCCAAGATAGCACTACAATCTTCGAAGAAATCGAAAAGATCGGTTCGATATAACATATATTTGCCATACAAACTGGCTGATCAAAATTAAGTACTTCTAGGGAAAACCATTTACTTGAAAAGATATCCGCACGAAATTCAGCACAGATCATTGTCTAGACAAACGCTATAATATCTGAAGCAAATGTTCAGATCGGTTGTGTATGGCATATAGCTGCCATACAAATTGACCGACCAGAAGAAAGTTCTTATATGAAAAACTTTTTATATTTAACGAGATATCTTCACGAAACTCGTTACAGTTTATTTCTTCAGACAGCGCTAAACTATTTGAAAAAATTTTCAACAACAGTTTACTATAACATATAGCTGCCGTACAAACTGAGTGATCAAAATCACGTTCTTATTTAAAAAAAAAAAAAAAAAAAATCTTTGTGTGCAGAATATTTGTGAAGGGTATTATAGTTTTTGTTGTATTTACCATTTAAATTTTAAATAATATTACAAGCTCAAAAGTCTAAAACAATTGTATATTCTTTGTTTATTCGTACTTTGTATGCTCTTTGTGTTACATCATTTATTGATACAATATTTTATTTGCCACATATTTGTGTTTATTAATATGTATGCATATATTAATAAATTCTGTCATATATTTAGTTTTGCAAAACAAATAACTATTTTTAGTTTCGTTTATTTTTCTATGATGACATCACCATTTGTTGACCCAGAATTGGTTGTAATATTTTTAATCACCTTCCGCACCCACCCTGATCCCACTCATGTTGTAAACTTCCAAAGCTTATACATATATATAGTATATGAGTTATGTGGATATGTCTCATTTCTTATTTTATTTTCAATTTTCGTTTTTGTTGTTAATTTAATATTCTTAAAGCATCCCTTCGAGTATATGTATGTGCAGGTGGTGTTTAATTTATTCAGAATATTTAGTACTGAATATTAGAATTTTATTGAGCGGACGAATGTCCTTGCTGTATGTAGTCATGAGTGTGTATATGTACAGATGTATTTGGGAAAAATAAATTCTAAATAAACTAAATTACGTAATTCTTAGCTAAATATGCAACTATGTAGAATATGTGTTTTTGGCAATGCTATATGAATGATTAACTATATTAGTGATTATTTATCATTAATGATAAACAAAAATTCGGCCGAACCACAGCTATAATACCCTGCACAGTTGCCTTTTTTTTGGCATAACGACAATTTTCTTTTCGATATCTTATTAAATAAAAAAGTTCTTCATACAAAGACTTCAGTTCGAACCTGCTATAGTAGCCCGATCTGAACAATTTTTCCGGAGATTGAGTGATAATTTGTACCAAATTTCGAGAAGATAACTTCGTACAACAAAAAATTTTCCATACAAGGCCTTGAGCTTGGTTGTTCTGTGTTTACGACAACTATATGCTATAAAGGTCTAACCTCAACAATTTCTTTGGAGATTATTGGAATTCCTTGAATGACAATCTGTACCAAATTTTCGAAGATATTTTCTTGCATAAAAAGTTTTCCTTGCCAACACATGACTTCGATAAGTTTTCTTTGTATGGCAGCTATATGCTATAGTTATGCAATCTCAACAATTTCTTCGGAGATTGAAGTGTTGTTTTGTATAATAATCTGTACCAAATTTCGTGATGATATCCCTACAAGTAATTTAGTTGAAACGGTCACTTAGAATGCCAGCTATACCATATAGTAGTCCAAAATCGGCGCCTCTCACAAATGAGTAGTTTTTTGGTAACAAACGAACATACGAACCATGTTAGATCGATATCTTAAAAATTAAGGGAACATTATTCTTACAAAATAGAAACGAGGCGAAATACTTTTTTTACTTTTTTAGTAGTCTTTTTTTGACAGATCACGGGTAAACGGCTTCTATAGCTGGGGATGTACAAGTAGAACGAAGAGTCGATTCGGATTGACGTGTGGAACGTCTTAACGGAAGAACTGAAGCTTGACCCTACCAAGCGACATCGGTTTGCTGTATAGGCTCTGGAAAAGTTCCAAGAATATCCGACCTTTTCGAGCGAAATTTTCTTCAGCGATGAGGTCCATTTCTGGCTCAAAGAGTATGTAAGCAAGCAAAATTGTCGCATTTGGAACGAAGAGCAAAATGTAGTGTTTCAAGGGCTGTCATTTCGTTTAGAAAAAATAACGGTTTGGTGCGAGGACGGAATCATCGCTTCATATTTCTTTCTTGATGCCGGTGACAATGTAGGCGTCAATTTCGACCGTTATCGCGCCATGATAACCGACTATTTTAACCCTGAAATTGAAGTTCGCGAACTCGGAGACACTTGGTTTCAACAAGACGGCGCCACTTCTCACACATAGCATCGAATTATTGAGAGAACCTTTGGGTGAGCAGATAATTTCACGTTTTGGGTGGGTCGATTGGTCACCGAGATGGTATAAGATCACAACATTAGATTTCTCCCGAAGGGAATATGGACCAATCCGCTTCCATTCAAGCCTAGTAGCAAAACATTACGCGTGACATACGCCGGTTACCAGTCGAAATCCTCAAACGAGTTAATCGAAAATTGTAATCAACGGATGGACCATGTGAGATATAACCACGGCCAATATTTGAAAGATATAATCCCTAAACTCTAACTGCCAAAGAATGTTCTTTCGATTGATAGTAAAAAATCCCAATTAAGTTTGTAATTTTTGTGTAGGGAACCTCGAACTCTATCACCTTTTATCACGATCACGATAGACAGCTTTTTGCGTTCTTTAATTAGAAGCAATTTTCCTAAACCGACCCTTCTAGAGCAACCCTGCTTATGCGATTTCTTATATTAATTTTTAACTTTTTTTTAATTTACTTGTAATAGCTAGTAGAGGCAGTAGTTTCTGGCTGCCAATCTGCAACATGCAACATTTTCCACTTGCTGCGTGGCACGTTGCCTTCGCACTTTTACTGCTCTCCACCGCTGTTAGGCTGAAGTTTGAAGTGTGCGCCAACGACTTGTAAACAAATAAATAAAAAATAGAAATGTAAAATAATGAAGACTCTCACAGAATTATGAGGCAACAACTTGCGGACAGACTTTGCAATTTTTGCGCAAAGTGTGAAATGAATGTAATTAAAACTTTAACAACTCAGCAAGGGACGGCGAAAACGAAATTTAAGCTTTGCATGTGCAACGCCAGTAAATGAGAAAAAGTATACCTTTGGTAATTATTTATAAAATGTTGTTGTAATTTTTATTAAAATATTTTTGTATTTTTTAATTTTCTATAAAATTATATACCAACAAGTAAAGGTTATAAAAAACGATCAGCCTTAAAGTTAAGAATTCCACACGCTTACTACAAACACGTTTTATGTGAATACTATTGCAGTGTGCACCTTAGCGCCAGCTCTGCACACGGGCGGAGTAGGCGTAGGAGCGATCAGCGGGCACATAAATGGGCGGTGTGATCAAGCGTTGTGAACGCAATAATATCGGTAACGTCAGCGGCGCATTCACCACGTCCGGCGCCAGGTTCGCTGTGACATAGACGCGCTCCGCGTCCGGATTCTCTTTGGCGCCTTCCTCTGGCTTTGGCGCTACCGGATTGTCGCTAACGCCACAAGCAGGATGACCAGCCTTGTCGGCGGGCGACACTGGATCCTCAGGTTCATTCACAGTAATGCTGGAATCCTGATTGGCGGATTCGACCTCGGTGGGCAATAGGAAAGCACGACTTGGACGCCAGCCGGATGGTGGATATGGTGCTTTATCTGCTGTTGGTTTGGCAGCGGTTGGTGTAGCACCCTCCGCTACAGCATCCACAGCGTCCACTTCAGTTGCCGCTTCAGCAACACTGGGTAGCTGCGTTGTGAAGGGCGCAAGCGGTGTGGCAGTGCTGGTTTCGTACGCATCCACTATATCATTATCGTTTGGTGCAACAGCTTCCTCAGCGCTGATTGTGGGCGCATCCACAATATCCTTATCGTTTGGCACAGCAGCTTCTGCAGCGGCAGCGGCCCTTGCTTCTTCTATGGCTTTAATTTCAGTTGGTAACAAAAAAGCGCGGCTTGGACGCCAACCAGCAGCTGGATATGGTGCCTTAGCTGCGCGCCCTTGCTTAGCAACGTCATCACTCGACAGCTCAGCAGGTACCCAGTTATAGGGTGTGGTAGTGGTGCCATCGTCAACGCTCTCCGACGTAGTGGTATACTCGTCCGCCGGCAATACGGTAGTGGTGTCAGCGATACCGGAGCCTTCCGTTGGTTCGTCATCAGCTTCGCTTGGCAGATTGAATGCACGGCCAGGTCTATAACCGGCGGCAGGATATGGCGTTGGATAGACTTCCTTTACCAAAGCCACCTCGCCATCGGCACCATCGGCCTGCTCGATACGCGCCGAGTTGCGCAGCTGGCGCGCCTGTGTGACGCCACTCAGCACTGCGGCCGCAAGTAGCAAATGGAGGAATGTCGTATACCGAACGGGTAGCATTTTTCACAACAATTTTTGATAAAAGGTAAGCTAAAATGCGAGTTTTTAGTGCTGTCCTTTAAAGGCTTTGTAACTTCGTTAAATTAAATTTCGTCAATTAGCGTATTCAATTACTTAATGCCGACTGTTTTTGATAAAGTTGCCAACAATCACTTTTATATCAAACGCCAAATTTGCGTACGTGCTGCCGTCTATAAACGCGCTTGAGTCCTCTCCGGCACAGGTGTGCTCCGATACTGCGCTCTGCGGCGACAATCAAATTCGCAATTGCTTCAATGTTGCGCATACGCCCCAACGTCCCCTCCTTAAACAGCGCGCTGAGCGATCACGTCCCCACAGATCACACTCGATTTCGGTTCGATTGACAAATTATTGAACTCACACACATACATACATGCATATATATATATATATATATATATATATATAAACAATTATTGAGACATACACATATACATACGCAAATATTGACTTGTGCACTGGGCTTGGGCACAGCTAATTTGTGAGATTCAGACGTAAACGACGCAGCCACGTTTACAGGGAATTGCCTTTTCGGTTCATGTATGTATCTATGTATATATATGTATATATGTACGTATTAATACATGTATATGCCTCCATATATTTTGTCATAAAAATCTCTTATTGCTTAATAATTCTCATTCTACACATTCGTTAAGCTCGTAATTCGCTTTAAATATGGCACGAGAAAAATTCAACATAAAATTATAAATTTACAAAAATAAAATAAAATTTAAAATGCATAATCACCGGCGATGTCAGCGAAATTAAAAATATTTACGTGCTTGGCATTATAATCTGCTTTTTGCTTCATTTGTTCTGATGTTTTCGCTTTTTTCAGTATAAAGCGCTCTGCTTCTTAGCGACATGTATAAAACATTGTGACAAAAAAGCATCAGGAAGTTGTAATTAAGTTCCCCAGTCGTTCTGGCCTACCTTCGACCTCTTAAAAATACATTTTTTTTTAAATATTTAAAAAAGTGAGAGATATGGTGCTTGCAAATCGTCAGGCAGGAATTAGAGAGATGGCAAGAGAGCTCGGCATCCCTCGCGAGTATGTTCAAATGATTTTGTTTTATATTTGAAAACATTTTGCATTTAATTTACAAGTTTCGGGTACTTTTTTGTCACAATTTATTTATATGTTTTTTAGTATAATAAATGTATATATGTTTCATATCGCCTATCTTTTGTACTTCCATTCATAACGCCGCCAGCGCGCATAGTTGTCTATAAATACATGTCGCAATGTGTTTGTAAAGCGTTCCACAAATACCAGTGGCGATTGGGCATTCATGAGCAGCATATTAAAATTATATTGATTCTTACTAATATAACAAATATTCTCAATTACGTTTTCTGCGAAAGCAAACCTAACTTCCTCCCACTTTTAACCTCACAAAATATTATTTAAATTTGTAGGAAACCCGTTTTATGGTTATGGATATCGCAAACTGTTCAAGTGCGTTACCATATGATAAGGTCAAACATAAATTAAGAGGAAGCATAGACTTTTTTTGGTGTGGACTTACTGGAACCATTTAGGTACTTAGAGAACTACAGTAATGAAAAAATGTGCTAGAAAAATAAACAGTATGCATTTTTTGTGACACTATTGGCCGAGGTATTTTGCTTATAGGCTATTCTAATCTGCTATAATCCGTACCAAATCTTGTAAATATACTTTGTCAAATGAAAAAGTTCAGTTTGTATGACAGCTATATGCTAACAGCAAAAGGAAATCCCAACTTGCCAGCAGCATACTGTCTATTATGCATGCATGAAACCACGGGAAATCTTTATAAAGGCTAGTTAAACCCAGACTCCAAGTGGCTAACAACAAAGCTGGAGAACTCTCGCTAAGACAAGACGCCTTTAGGCCCAGCAGATCAACTCTAAGAGCTCTAAAATTCGTCATTGCAATTGAAGAAACCACACAGCGTAGATGGCATAAATACAAAATAATAGTGTTGCTGTCGACTTTAGATGTCCGAAACGCCTTTAACAGCGCTAAATAGGTGGATATGATCGACACTCTCGAAAAAAGCTTTAAAATCCCCGACTACTTCAGAGCTGTGGTGCAGAGCTACCTAGAAACAGAAAAGTGCTGTGCAGCACACAGCCGCTCTCAGAGTTGCATCAGCATACCGAACAATGTCAGATGATGCAATATTAGCTATAAGATGGACGGCCAAACTAATAAAAGACCCAATCTTATGGACAAGCCGTAAATTCGCAGAAGTCTACTTTTACACAACTTAGTTGTTATCCGGTCACGAATATTTCAAATATTACTTCCACAGAACCGTCATGACATATTAGTATACGATGGCAACGAGAACGCACTGTCGACTGCCGCAGAAGATCTGGGTGATCCAATAAAGTAAATTTAATTAGCGTCATGTTGGAGAGTGAAGCAACCTGAGGGATTATGCAGATATGCGCAGCAATTTTGCTAAGCAGCACCCGGACGCAAGTCTGCAGACGTAAATCTTTCAATGAGAAAAACGCTACCCTGAAGTAATACAAATGACGGTTTTTTAGTGGGGGGTTTTAGTAACCTGCAAGTGGCACATACCGTTGCTGTGACGACACCATTGACGATGCGGAAGGCATTTTCTATCCTCTCACCCGCTAAAGAATACGCAAAAGGTCAATTGAAAAATTCCCGGCCTACCCTAGTAAAACCCATTTTTTGTCAAAATCCGTTTTTATTTTATTTTATATATAATATAGTTCCCTTCAAGGATGATACACTAATAGCGATGCTCCAACTCTTCTTTAACATTTTTGTAGTAAGATTTGTCTTTATCTCTTCATTCGACGAAAATTTCTTCCGAGCGAGCATTCTTTGGGGTCTGAGAATAAGAAATTGTCGCTGGGGGTCGGATCTTCAGAATACGGTGGGTTTTATCAACAGACAAAATTCATTTTCATCCATTTTTTCAAAATAAAAAACCTTGCTTCACTCAAAATTATATAATTCACGAACTAATGATCGGATAGTTGTCAAATTTGTACCTGTGTTTTTTGTAGGTTAGGGCTAACTGAAAATTTAATGAATTTAATTCTAATAGCGCCATCCAAGTCCACTTGATGATGTCCGCTTGGATGTGAACTGTCAAGATTTCATATTGTATGTGTGTACCTAGCAGACTTACCCCTTCCCCACACATCAACGGAAGAGGTAAAAGTATTCCATAGCTTGCATTAGAGCCCGTGAAGTACTTATTGATAATTATATGTGGAAATTAATTAGCAGCACACCAAATATGATTGCAAAAAAGGCCGACAACTTCGATTGCCTAATTTACTGTGGCGAAAAAAAATCACCAAAAACTAAGTATTGTTGTTGGCGTTGTCACGAGCATAAATTCACTGCAACTGCGGGCGTTTGTGCTGTCAACGAGAATGTCAAACAATTGTTGCACAAACAAATGCCAAGCGCCAACGAAGCGAAGCGACGGACAGCAAGCAAATAGCAGACAGTTACTACAACAATAATGTTGGCGGGCACAGGGGGCGGCAGATTGTGCAGGACGATGCTTGATTGCATTAATTAAGTCACACTTATTTGTCTTCAATAAACAACAACAACAACAGCAGCAATGCAAACAGCGACAAAAACAATTGTCGCTGCGGCCAATTACGTTGGCCACTACAAACTAAAGCAACAACAAACAACAAGTGTGTGCAACAAACAATAACGACAACATTGCGAACAAGCAGACAACGCATTCAAGCATCAAGCATTACAACATACACACACACATGCACACTTGACAACAATAACAGCGCACAAGCGAACAGCCATTGTGGCAACAACTAAAGCAAATAGCCCAACCGAGCGACAATAAAATCGTGCACATTTTATGTCAACAACAGTGCGCGCCGAAACGCCTGCCATGGGTGTATGTGTGTGTGTGTGTGTTAGTGCATGTAATTATGCGCGAGTGTTTGGACCAGCGCTTGGCCGGCACAAAGCCGAGGCGAACAAAAGTTTCAATCTGCGCGCGCTGGTTAATTTCTACAGCAGAAAAGCGCGTAGATAATAAACGTTAAATGAATTGGAAACGGCAAAAAGACAGTTGACTCGCCAGCATTGATGCTGCTCCCTGTTCACATCACAGTTGAGGTTAGGTTAGATGGCTAATGCCTTCACATGGCGGGAGGAGCCCACTTGGACAGATGTTTGCCGACCTTTGTAGAGCCAGATGAAAGAACTGCAGCTATCAGCAAAGCTGTTTAGGCTTTTCACCTGGATGCCTAAAAGTATGAAATCCCAGCTATTTTAGCTTTATTTGGCAAAGAAAAAGTAGGACATTCCCTGAGATGATTATAACTCATACTGTTCCAAACAAATAATGCAGCTGGCAAATTTTCAATCCTACCGCTTTTTTTTGTTTTTCTTGGAGGCGGAATCTTCAAAGACACCGTCATTTTTCCGGATGATATGTATGAATCGCTTACGAATTCCAATTGGATGAATCCCAATCGAACCGTGTTCATTTAGAATTCTAACATCCATTCCAAGGTGATCATTGCCGAAGTCGAAGCGAGACCTCTTGCCAGCAGCGGCAAGAAACATGATTGAGAATTTTTGTAGAATTGTGCCTATTTGAAACTTAGTTGGTGGCAAATTGAGCAGATCGATGGTTTGTGAGCGAACGAGATTCCGCCTTCCTCTTTGAACAAAAAAAAAAAAAAAAAGTGTTTCTAATAGTTTTTTGGGCACTAATGCCTTACATAAAGTTAACGTGCTCAAAAAGGAAGGTGAATTCCTTTATAAAATGTAAATACTTTGTTTATTATTTCAAATCAATTTTAACCCCCTGCAAAGTAATTCCCGTCCGATAAATTTCACTTTTGCTAACCCTTTTTCCATTTTCCAAAACAGTCAGAATATTCGTTTTTCGGTATAGGCTTAGGGAACTACTTTTGCTCGGAACTTATCTCCTCAATCGTGTCAAAACGACGTCCTCTTATTGTTCTTTTGAATGCGTTAAATAGCAAAAAGTAGGACGGAGTGTCTTGTAGTTGACCTTGATCAAATCAGGTGAATATGATGGTTGCGGAATGAAACGAGTTGAGTTTTTGTTAAGAAAAGTCGTGATGAACTAATGCATTATAACATGACATGGCGCATTAGGATTCATTACATCCTTGCCGGTTTCGAAGCTGTTGATGGTTATAAGCTAC